GTCATAGAGCAGGTTCACAATTGCAAGCAAAGCTAGAGGCTATCACAGAGGGCAAGTGAGGAGGAGGAGAGAGTGTGGGGGCGAGAAGATGGGAGGCGACTGCTGAAGCTGCAGACACACAGGAGCTGCTGGCTCAGTGGCTACCGAAGCAAGGGCCCGGACTACAGGAGTAACTGGCTCCGCGGAGATTGTAGCCTCCTGAGTGGAGCAACTGACCCACAGGCGACTGGCGACTACCGGAGATTGTAGCCTCCGGACTACTGGCGCTGCTGACGACACGACGGCTGCCTCCACTCAACCTCCCCCAGCTGCCCCACTCCCCTATCACACACCCCCTGCTGCACCCCTAGTTCCACTCCCACGACACCCCCCTAGCACCACTCCTTCGGCTCCCACACACCCACCCACCTGAGCGGCAGCTGCAGCAGCGGGAGACGGAGGAGGAGGAGTAGTAGTGGAACGGCGTACAGAAACTGCACCCCCATACCCGTCACCCCCACACTCCCCACCCCCAAACCCTAAAACTGGTGGCACGGTGTAGGAGCGCGGGAGACGACGAGGGGGACGGCGCGCGGCCCCCAGGGCGCCACCACAGAGCAGCAAGGGGGGTCGCGCACGGCCCCAGGGTTGGCGCGCGGCCCCCAGGGCGCCACCACGGGGCAGCAAGGGGCCGCGCGCGGCTCCAGGGGTGGCGCGCGGCCCCCAGGGCGCCACCACGGGGCAGCGAGGGCCGCGCGCGGCTTCCCAAGGTGCCGCGACGTGAAGGGCGGGGGCCGCGCGTGCTCCCCAGGGTGCCGCGACGAGCAGGGCGGGGGCCGCGCGCGGGTCCCCAAGGTAGGAAACCGCCGCGCGCCTCGGGGCGCACGGCGGGCAGAAAACCGCCGCGCGCCCCGAGCGCACGGCGGCAGGAAGAACGAGTCGCATGCCACGGGGCGTGCAACAGACAGAGTAGCAGCGGAAGCAGTTAGGTGGGCCCACAGGCCAGGAGCGTAAATGCTCTGAAACCATGTTACAATAGTAAGCACAGTGAGGAGCCATAGCTAGGGTTTAGCTAGCTAGGCAAGAGAGAAATGAACAAAGGAGGAGGTTCACTAGCAGTAGTTGGGATACATATAGCAAACCCTAACAGGGTTGTACTCGCTATAGAGCACCCCACTACAGGCTAGATAATAACATTCTGACAGGGCGACGCGACCGTTGACGGGGGGGGACGCGCGTGTCCCCGAGGTGGTATGTGAAACAGGAAGCCGCCACGCGCCTCGGGGCGCACGGCGGGCAGGAAACCGCCACGCGCCCCAAGCGCGTGGCGGGAAGAAAAAAGTGTCGCGAGCCACGGGGCGCGCGACAGACAGGAAAGCAGCGGAAGCACGTGGGGCCCACAGGCCAAGAGCGTAAGAGCTCTGATTCCATGTCAAGATACTAAGCTAGTTGGGCTTAGGAGCCATGGCTAGAGTGGCTTAGGAGCTTAGGTTTTAGGGTTCAAGATGAATGTCGAGAGAGTTTAAGAAGAGGAAAAGTTGCTTCACTAAGAAAGATGAGTACAAGATATAGCAAGGAGAAGCATGATGCACCACCTACAGCAAATTGAGATGTGCTACACTCTACACTGCAGACAATTATAAAGAACATATATAAATATAGTTCAACAGTTTTTGCCTTTTCGCTTTTAGCAGAAACAGAAGTGGCGTTCGGTGTAGCGATTTCTTCCGTAACAGCAGGGGCCTGCTTCTGTAACAAGGACAACAGCTGCTGTAGTTGGGCTGCAGTGAAGGTTGGCGCCACTTGTGCGTCAGGCCCCACAGGCGCGTCAGGGCCCACAGGCGCGTCAGGGCCCACGGGCCTGCGGCGCTGACGCGGACGCGGGGTGCCAGCCGCGCTGGTTGGCGCCGACTTGGCGCCTTCTGTCGCGGCCGGCGCGTGAGGGGCCACAGGGACTCGAGGCACACCAAGGGGCGTGTGCCTCGACTCCAGGGGCGTGTGCCTCGACTCCAGGGGCGTATGCCTCGGCTCCAGGGGCGTGTGCCTCGTTCGCGCCCAGCAGTGCCTCGACGCCAGTCGGGGAAATTTCCCCGTCGTCTGCCCGACGCTTGTTCGGACGATCGCCCGCAATTTCGCGTGCTTTTCTTCCAGACTTGGGTCGAGCGGAGGCGGCAGCGGTATTAGCCTCGCCGCCGTTGAGTGACATGGTAGCTGCGTTGTGAGCGAAAATGTCAGAGAGTAGTCTACAGGGATTGAAATCGGGGAAGAGGCTTCAACTTCGCCTGCTTAGGAGTGGGAAAGTAGTCTACAGGGATTGAAATCGGGGAAGAGACTTCAACTTAGAATGAAAATCGGCTAAACCGTTTGAAAATGAGAGACGTGGGTGGAGGAAAATAACCTCCAGCCCACGTTTTGTACTCCAAAACGGGCGTCTAGCGCGGCTCGACGCTGCCAAATCCTACATTACAGGCAGCTTCGCTTTCAAAATACATAATTTTGAAAAGCGTTACAGCTTTTAAAAATATACATTTTGTATTTTTTACGACTTGCAATGACGGTAACGCACACGGACATGTGGAGTCATTCTTTTACCGTATGCGTGAAGGGAGTTACCAACCGCACGGAAGAAGTTACCAAACGCGCGAAGCGAGTAACCAAGCGTGTGAAGAGAGTTACGACGAAACGCGTGAAGTGCGCTATCAAACATGTGAAATATCCTGTAATAGTTACTGTACACGTTGTAGTAACCCATAATGGTTACCGTCCACACATTTCCCCCTGATTCCTCGCTGAGAGGCTCCTGTGTGGTGTGCAGGTCTGGCCTGTGTTTCCATTCCAAGCCCTCTAAGAACCAGTCAGCCCGCCGTTTCGCCTTCACCTTCCTTTTCTGGATAGTCGAATCACCACCAAATCAGCCTACCCCAGGCCAGGCCCCTCTGTCGGTCGCTACTGCTGTGAAGTGTACTGGTCTAGGAGTATTTTCGCAGGCGACTTCCTTCCGCCGCTGTATTCCGCCGCTAATCGCTCTGTCCTTTCGCCTGAAGCGTTGTCGTTTGCGGAGGAAATGACGAACCGCGGTGCTTGCTCGTCTCCAATTCCAACGGGCAGTGGTTTTCCCACTACCCCCCCCACGCGACCGCGCCCGATTCCCGCGGTCAGTTTTCCCCATTAAAAATGACTTTAGTACACTTTCAGTGATGTCGTGGTCAGGCTCACTTTTTTTTGGTAAGGTTGCACAAATCATTACAACTTCGTCTTTATCTATGCGCTGTCCACCTCAGCTGAGCAAGCAGCGGTGGCAATGATGAAATTGGGTTTGGAAATATCTTGCACAGGACGCGTGCACGAACTTGCCTCGCGTGATGTTCGAGAACCCTCAATGTCAGGGTTCCAGTCAATAACAGCGTGCCACCTTGGACTTCACTGGGCGGGTTAAGCACCGTTGCATCCACAATGCAACAGTCTGTCCTTCCTTCGTCATTACTTCTCCTCGGCTTCTCCGCCGTCAACGTCTCGTGAGCACATTACCACCATCTCGTGAGCCTAGAGTATTGGCGGCTTTGAGCAGCCACCATTGTTCCTCTTACTTTTCATTCGAGGTGATTCTTAGCACAGCATACTCATCTCCATTGTTGGTCTTAAATCCGCCTCTGCACCATGACGCAAACTATGCTGGCCGCACGCGCCAAGGGCCACCCACCTGCTAGTAGCCAGGCACCCGTCGCGCGGGGGAGACGAACAAACCGGAGCGCTAATAAGCCGGCTCCGTCCCCTGAATTCAAGGTCCCCGTTAATTTAGAAGGCGTGCAAGTGCTCCCCGAGCCAGACGACATAATATCGAGGTTCGCTAAGGGAGTCAGAGTTCCAGACTGCGCGACCGATAAGCTACCTAGGTCGGTTAAGAGTGACCATTTCCCCTCCCGTGAGATTAAAAACCATCACGACCAGCGAGCGAAGGTGACTATGATGGATGCCCTCCACATACAAGATAGATACGAGCTGATAACGTCAACCATCGACTTTTACCACGTGTGAGTCACGTTCAGCGTGTGCCTTGTTTTACTTAATCCTCTTCATCGTGTACATGACGTGTATTGTACGTATTCTTCCAGGGTTTTGAGCCTTTATCACAAAAAATTACACGACGGGAAAACTTGGTTGGCTCTTGACACGCTCGCCTACCAAACCGTCACCGGGGGACAGGAGCTAGCATGCGGCGTCGATTGCAAACTTCTCTTCGAGCACGACTACCTTTGCATCGTGGTTTTCACCAAGTAAGAGTTTCAGACATTATGGAAGTCATGGAGATGGTATTCCAGAACCGGCTTTACCACTCCGTGTCATGCCTAGCCATACTTCCCGGGCTTAATGTTTGTTTGCAGAGTTCCTATTCATCATTTCAGCCTGGTCGTTGTCAAGGACCCCCGTCTGCTGCTGCTTAGTCAGGAGGAATACGATGCATTGAAGCCACGAGTACCCGTAAAAGCTGTACTGTACGACTCCGCGCGCGTGCACTATGACATGTGCGAGGCAATATTCACAAACATCAACGAGTGAGTTCATCGTGATTCTTCTTTCGTTGTGGCGTGACACCTGTTATCAACACCACGCCTACTCCTCGCTTTCATGATCCCCTTTCTCTCGTTATGCCTCCGCAGGCTGCTTATGAGGGCCCTTAAAAAGGCCAACCCTGATATGCCGTGGGTGGTTGTGACAGAGAGGGTCTCACGCGTCAGCAGCCGTGCACTTGAAGTGAGTATGCCACACTCGTGTTTACCACGCATGTCAACAGACATGCGGGACTCGGTTTACCACGCATGTCTACTCTGTGTTTGATACTACTCTTATGTTTTGTACTGCAGTACTTCGAGGTACCCCAGCAACAGAACAGTGTGGACTGCGGGGTCTACGTCTGTATGTTCTCCAAGGAGCTTGTGGGCCGAGCTTTCGAATGCCTGGAAGAAGGGATCAATCATCCTCGTTACAGTGCTGCCAAATGCAGGCGCGAAATTCGGGATCTGATGTGCGAGGCTGGTGCAGGTACACTGCTGGAATCGCTGGCACTGAAGGGGGCCGACATTCCCCCACAGAGTGATCAGCACGGGGGGGACGAGAGTGATAGCGAGGGCGGAGTTGAGGAGATAAAGGAGCCAACCATCCAGGATTTGGCGGCGGAGCAGTTGTCTCATGCTGCACAGCTGAAGGGCCTGCATGAAGACATGGAGTCTCTGAAAGACTCCGTTTACAGTGGAGAAAAGGGACTCGACAAAGTGATGGGTATCTTGTCGTCACTCTTCACGGCCGTCCAGGGGATGGCTGCCAAGACAGGGTTCAAGCTGCCGACGGGTTTAGTGGAGGTTTTGAACAGCGACGAACCCACCACCTCTACCGCTGCAGCCCCTCCGCCCCATCGTACGCCTGCAGCATCATTGGAAGCTCCAGTGAACATGATCGCTGTTCCCCACGCTTCCACCACCGCTCCGTCACATGCGCGCCCAACATTTTGCGCGACGACGCCATGTACTGTCCAAGGCCAGGGTGCCACACCCGGTGCACACAAGTCCAAGGCGGGTCACTCTGGTCTCGCGGCCGTCCCATCTAGCACCACGCAAGGTCAGCCGGTTTCTGCAGCAGGTGTTACTACAGCGGCAGGTGGCCTGGCAGGGAACGGTGAAGGTGCTCAGCGAGCTTCAGCGGCGCAGGCAGGTGCACCTTATGTTGCTTTTCCATCTGCTCGGCGGCAGGCAGGTGCCTCTGCCGGTGCTTCGACACAAGGGGTTGGACAGCCAGGTGCAGCATCGGGTATGCCAGGAGCGGCATCAAGTCTGCGAGGTGCACTTCATGCAGCAGGCAGTGTTCCTACCGTACCGACTGGTCACACAAGTGCAGCAGCCTTCATTCCTACCGCCTCTACGGGCCATACAGGTGCAGCCGTGATTTTCCCAACTGTAGCCGCAGGTCATGCAGGTCCAGCAACCGGTGTTCCGACGGCATCGGCCGGTCACGCAACGGCAGCATCCGGTGTTCCGACTGGCGCCGCGGGTTTAGGGGTTTCAGCAGCCGAGGTCCAGGGTGCTCAATGGTCGGTTTTGGCGGCAGGCACTGCAAGGGCACCTGATGTTCAAAGGGCTTCGTCTGTATGGTCTTCGGGGGAACAGTTCTTTGCCCCATCTGCCTTTCACACAGGGGCGCATATGCAGGGTGTACGCGCACCATCTGCGGTGGGGTTTGCGCAGAATGCAGGCGCTATTCAGCAGGTGGCCACCTCATCCGCCGCTCATTCATGGCCGATTGGGTTTGCACATCAACCTCCCAGCGCGGTTTACCCCGGTACTGTACAGCCAAGCGACTTACTGCAACTGCCCTTTTCGACGCTTCGTCCCCCGCTGCATCCTTCTGCTCCTTTCCTCGCCGCTGATGAGGTGCTCGACGATACCAACAGCCAACCAGGTCACACAACCGCCGCTCAGGGTCGCGGTTTATCGAGCATGCTCCCCGGTTTGATGTAGGGGTCCCAACATGTACTGCCCTCACCTGCAGCCTCCTCATCTATGGCGCCCGCGACCCAGGGAGGGGAGATCGGTGAGGTGCCCGGCAAAAGGGGTTGGACGGGCGTCACAAAGAAGCTGGATAAGGACGAGTGGATCGCCAGGATCGTCCTAGACCGCGCATCTCAGTCGCTGATCGTCATCAACAGCCACTTTGGAACGGAGGAAGAGGCGGCAAGGTCGATAGCCGCAGCGTCGCACGTGATGTTCGTTGACAAGCCAACGCGTGGGGAGCTCATTCTCTTGACCGCCGCCGACAAGGCCAAGCTCAGCGATTGTTCTGCACACCAGTGTGAGGTGATGGTCCGCATGAAGTTCTGGCACATGTGGGAGGAGTGGAGGAAGTATTGGCCTGCAGCGAAGGCAAAGTGGGACGAGAAAACGCGCAGGGACGAAAAGAAGAGAGCTGCAATTAAAGCCAGCTTGGAGGAAGCAGATGCTCGCGCCGACAAAATCGCCCGAATGCAAGCTGGTGGAAATTCTGGGCATGCGTATGCATCTCATGAGGAGGGGTCGGGATCTAAGGATGGTTAGTTCGTGCCTTTTAGGGATGACTCCCTCATCGTGCAACGTGAGTGTGCTTCGTCCCTTTTGTGGGTTCACTCTGATCATGTAGCTCTAAGTAGCATAATGCACGCAGAGTGCATCTGATGCTTCAAATGACAATGTATAGTGTTGGCGCATACGTTCTGCTTCAACATCCAATTCACCATTGGATCGCTATTGGATCTGCACCAGAGGTTGACCACGCCCCATGTAGTAGTGTTTGCCATCATCTTGCATATTGTGGCATTAAAAAACGGAATGGGCTCGTTACATGTACTATACAAACATGATAGAGGACTTCATTGTATTAAAATCAACACATCAGGATTTTGGGTTTAATAGCGAGCATTAGTCATCGGACAAAGCCCGAACAACATTCCGCAAAGCAGCTGTGTGTGGTCCGTCAGCCCCTAGTCACAGGATCGTGGGGCAAAGCTCTGTCGATGTAAGTGCCTCACGCGACACTCACCGCGGACACACCACCGACCCGGAACTGCGCAGTCTGCATTGCGTGAATAGCCCACGAGGCACAGGCTGTACAGTCATCATTGGTCGGTTTGGCCGAACGGTACGCTCGCCACGTATTAGTGAAACACCAGTAAAACTCACGTCAACCCCTAAGCGTGACGTTCATGTTTACCCATGTGTTCCAATCAACTGAGCATTTTGGTCAATACGTAGCCCTATAAGTTACGTATTACTGGACACCAATACAATTTACGGGGGATAAAAATTGATTAGAACAATTGGGGAAATCCCAAACAAAACTCTGCAGCTTCCCCTCGCTAGGGTTAATATCCACACGGGTGAAGGGTGTTCCGCAATGCCCAACTGTGTAATACGTCGGGAGTAATAGAGGTTGGTTGAGGGACTCACGAGATGCTCACCAAGATTCCAATACGCAGGAGTGCCATCCAGGGCGATCGTGAAGTGGATGCATCGTGACTCTTTCGCCTCACAATCACCATTGTTGATTCGTCACAAAGTTGTGCCCACGATGTTATTTGCAGCCGTTGCTTATTCGCTTTAGGCATCACGTGATAATCGCCAACGACTCTGAAGGCCCAGCTCCAACAATACCATGCAGGGTTTCTATTTTCATCAACTGGAAACATCAATTACGTATCAGGGAATAAAAATTGGTGTGTTTAGTAATCTCAACAGGCTAAATAGGTACATTCAAAATTAGTCTTGCAACGTTTTGGATCAACCACATGGGCCAGCACATAGCCATCCAAGTACATGCTACATATGTAAATAACAATAACCCCTGCCTTGCACAATAATGAGCCAAAGGCTCTATCGACTAGTAACGTTCTTTGTTACGATCAGTAAGGGATCGACCCAAGGATGAGTGCTGACTTGTCTCATGGATCAGTATTGCAGACCTTCTAACCGCCTCCCATACCTATCTTTCAACGCATGAACCGTAGACATACGTCAACCTAGGGGTCGGAAACAATTCTACCTAGGGGCCGATGTTTGTGTATGATGGGAAGCATAGTAAATTAGATACAAGGCTTTATTAAGAGTTCAAGGCATATGAAGAAATCATGGCACAGAATTTCCAGGCTATTGATGTGGCTGTAACCCTTCCGTATGATCAATCGAGGATCACAAGCGGACATCTGACAATTGTGCCTGTAATCAATGACAAATGTCCGATAAAAATCACGGACACCCATCCAACACAGACACCCATTCCAACCACACCCCTATCTTCAGATTAGGCTATTGTATCAAAGACATCAACGCAGGATCGCGTAGGCTATCAAACATGTAGTGACCAAAAGTTTGCAGTTATGATAACTGTTCCAGTCTACAACCTATCACCAGTAGTTGCCGAGTGTCGCGTTGTCTAATACATTGCAGCCAATAGCGTTACATCTTGCATCGCTTAGCAGTGAGTAACAGTGGACATCAAAGCTTCAATTATTTATTCTCGTAAGTACACTCATTTTTTATCCGATCATGAAAACTAAGATTATGCGAGAGTGGGCGAACCTTCTTCCTTGTCGTTATGAGAATGCATAATTATTTACTCGCATCATTAATCTGAACGCAAGTAACCACTAATGTCGCGTATAGCGACAGAAGCAGATCTAAAAAATGACCTCGTCAATCCCTCGTGATGGGGATTGACATCTATTATCGTAACGTTACTGCACCTACTATCGTGTGTCGCTGTCACTTCACAAGTATGTGGTGAACGTCCCGTCATTTATCCCACCAGAGGTTCGCGAATCTTTCTCCTCTCACATCCACACCACCAGTAGTAGAGTAACGAGGCCAAGGGCTATAACATAAGCATTTAGTGGTTGTTCTCGCTAATAACATCTCCCCATTGAACCGTGACATGGCTTCACGGAAAAGCCCTCGGTTGAGTGGGGCCATACGTGATGTCGTCGCGTCCAAGAAGTCGTGCTTGCGTGTACTTACATTTGAGGTCCCCGTAACGGTAGACGTGGAGGAGAGGCTGCCCGAACCTGACGACGTCGTGTCCCATTTCGCAAAATCCGTGCCTGGGCCGTCAGATGGTAGCGTAGTAATTCAGCCGATGATGACTAGCGAGCACTTTCCAACGCCATCGATCACGAATCATATTGGGCAGAGAGCTACGGTGCAGATGGTTGATGCTCTTGGCATACGAGACGGTGTGGAGATTCCGGCTAGTACCATTGACTTCCACAGCGTGTGAGTACTCTACGCGCTTCCGTACGGATGTGTTTGCATAATAAGGAGGGGCTAATGTATTTTTCCAACTTTGTGCAGCGTTCTCAGTGTACTCTACCCGCAACTACCCACGGGGAGAACGTGGGTTGCACTGTCGTGTTCAGCGTACCGATCGGCGGTTAACGAGCATCTCGATTGCGGAATCAGCAGCGAGTCCCTGTTCAAATTCGACTACGTATGCATAGTGGTATCAACCCAGTAAGTAGCGGTGCGTTTTCAGTCATGGGTCATGACTGAACCTATGTATTCACATGTTTCAGTGGCTTGACCAGGTGTCTCAGGATCCCAGGTCCCAAACACGCAAGCCTGGTCGTCGTGAAGGACCCTGGGTTGCTGTTGAAGACAGACGAAGAGCTTGGAGTGCTGGGCGCTGAGGGTCCGCAGGTTGTGCTCTTCGACTCCACTCGCTATAACGCCGCGATGTCAAGAAGTGTCTTCCGACACATCAACTGGTGAGTCCGGACCACCTAATACCACGAGTCCACCATTGCGCGTCGTTTGAAATGGGGACACATACAGAATTATAAGACCATGAATCAATCTATTACCTTGCACGCGACTGCAGGCTATTGGGAGCAGCGCTGACACAGGCGAGGCCCGGGCTCAGTGCGACCGAGGTGACCAATCGTCTCCGACGAATCCGCAGCCGGGCACTGCTCGTAAGTGAACCGTCATGTTGCAAACGAGTGACCAATGGATCCGGCATGCCTGCCTCATTTGGACCACCCATGGGTATATTGACACCCTGTGTTTGGTTTACATGTGCAGGCTAGCCAAGTACCACAACAGGATAACGGCGTTGACTCGGGCGTCTTCGTGTGCTATTTCATGTCTGTACTCGTCGCCCGGTCATTCAGTAACCTCAAGCTTGGCATCCCATCACCCTCGTACAGCATTCTGACCTATCGGCGCGCCATTCGATCCTTGATGTGTGATGCTGGAGAGCTAACGCTTGGCGTGAAGTTGCAGAACAGAACTGTGTCATTACCGCCACTTGACCAGCAGGCCCCGCGAAATGAGCCCATCCACACGGTGCAGCCCAACTTGGACAGCATTTCGGCGATGAGAACCATGGCCGCTGAATTACGCAGTCACGCGAGTCGCATATCCGATGTAGAAGGCTGCACGGATGCAGTAAAGCAGTTGGTTGTGAAGACACAATACATATGCGACAACATGGCCTCAGCGATATCAGCGCTACAGAACCCGGGCGGTTCAGCCCGCTTGCATGACGCGACGACGGTTGTGGAAGACCGTGGTGAAGTCATCCGAGGTGGCTCTGTGACACGGCAGAAGGATGCGAAGGAGTCTTCGGGAAAGAAGCGCAAGGAGATCAAGGGGAGATTCGTGGGTATTACCCAAAGGCCCTGGAATGGGAGATGGGTTGCTAGACTAGTGTGCGATCGGGAGAAGGACGGGCACGTCGTTATTGGCAGCCAGTTTTCAGGTGAGGAAGAGGCGGCGAGAGCACTTGCTGCCGGGTCACATGTGCTATTTGGGCCGCACAATGGACCCCGTGGGCTCGTGATAGGCCTGTCGCTTGAAGATACGAACCGGTTGAATGACTGTCCTAAGGACACCTGCCTGGCTATGATCCGCAACAAGTTATGGCACAGGTGGGAGAATTGGAGGGAGGCTTGGCCTGAATGCCAAAGTAAGATGGAGGGATGGAGGGCAGCAGATACAGTGTCGGGGAAGTCGGATCCCTCGTCTCAGTCGCGTCCCCAACATAAGTCAAAGCGAAGGAGACAGTCCCAAGAGTAGCCAGAGGGACGTCATCAATCCCTGGTGCTCTGGCCGTTGGCACCAGGGATCGATAACCGTGCTTTTGGTGCCAAACCTCTGTTGTGTTTGGTGGCGCATGGGATCAGTGGCGCATAACAACCAAGGTTTTCTTCCATTGTATGTTACTTCTGGTAATACGCGAAGGATGTTGTTGTGCAGTAATGACAAGCAATACTGCCTTGGCGTCCGCGCACGAATAAAAAAGTCGTTGGGACAATGGGTCATGCTTCACATATTTCTTACGAGCTCTTCTTAATTTTGGCTGGTCATTGTACTGTATTCGAGGACCAGTGTTGGTGTATTCATAGTAGCTGCAACGTTTTTAGAACGAGAGTGGCCCTCAAGTGAATTTCTCACATGGATTTCACTATTGGATCACTGGCGATTGATGGTTCTTTCGAACGCAGTTGGAGCAGATTCTGTGAGTTCCTCACGCGATAGTCACTTAAAACACACCACAAACACGTGTGAATCCCGGGTAAGATCCCACTAGGATCACGCTAACTGCCAGACGCGGTTTCCGTTAAGTAGCCTCCCCGACATAGATGTTACAAGATTACTATAGTAATCTTATGACAGAATCCAAAGTGCGTAATAATCACAAAGTGTGAATTTCACGCGTGATGGTCAAATTCCTCGAGGAGACATAGCCAATTCCTTCACATTACACTTAAATGAAAAATCCGGACATAACATAACTCCTTCCGTGACAGCGACCTGCCTAGGGGCAAACCAGATATACACACTGATATGAACATGGAAAGGGTGAATAGCCGTACGGTAATGAAACGTCTTCCGCGCAACCCACCGGCCGAGCTCGTGAGGAGTGATAGGGTTTGGGTGAGGGGCTGACGAGATGCTCACCAATAAGAAACCACGAGCCACGGATGGTTGACTCCCGGCTGTGCTGGCCTTTAGCATATATTTCACTGAGGGTTGACGGGTTCTTGACGGGTCTCTAACGGGAACTAGGAACCGGACCTTCACGAAGTTCTCATACCTTGTTCGCGGGCCATCAACTAGCGATTCACGAGCAATGTAGTGTCAGAGCCGCCTCCGAAGACTGCGCCATCAGACGTCGCTCCGTAAATTGTGGAAACCACATCAAACACTTTTAAAAATACTGACTGATTGTTGACCATTCAGTCGCGATGGCGTGGCGAAGTAAGTGGACGGTACTGGGTGAAGATTTCACGGGGGTATCACTAGGCCCCCAGCACTCATTTACTACACTCCACGTATCCTTCACTAGAGTGTGACTTGCCGACGGTGAATGAGTCATGGGCAATGTTTTCCCAATGCAAGCAGGGCTTTGCTAAACCTCCGATCAGTAATCTGCACATTATTTCTGTATGCTAAGGTGACAATGTGGCCTACACTAAACCGACTACTATATACTATTGAAGTCCGAATTCGGGTCCAACGACCTCATCACCTAAACCCGCGCAGTATTCTTAATACTTGCCCCCACCCATTGCGCTGCCACTAACCCATGTAGAGACTACAATATACCGTGAATCCCCACATTTCTCAAATAGTGCCCGCAAAAGGTGCCGACTCGCGATAGGATTTACGGGCCTTAGGGCGGTTACGGAACCTCCTCTTCTCCGGGTATGCGCTCCCACCATACTTGCCCATGCAGCGGTTCTTTGTGTGACCGTGGAGACGGCAAACGCTGCACTTGTACGGATGCATAGCCTTCTCGACGCGAGCGTAGCTCGGCGGGCGGCCGGCAGCCGTGCGCCGAAAGGGTGGAGCATCGCACTGGCCTGTTGGGGCCAGTTTCCTCCCAAGGACGATGCGGTCCACACAGGAACCCCGCACCGTTGAAGAATAAGTCTCCGCCCAGTTCTTCGTGGTGTAGTAGTCAGAGACGAGGCTGCGCGGGTCAAGCTTTCGCTTCAGAGCAAAGGCGACGGCATGGGAGCAAGGAAACTGGTACTGGTCCCAGTTCGAGCAGTCGCATGTCCTCACTTCGCTGTTGATGTTGACGTTGAAAGACCTCCATTCCTTGGGATCGTCGGTGTCCCTGGTCTGGATGGTTCCTTCCTCAAGATCCCCGCCCAGTAGCTCGTACCCCTCCGCCCGGGTCTCCTTCTCTACCATCCGCTCCTCTGCAGCTTCGGTGAGTAGAGCAGTTCTCTCACGCGCAGCCATTTTGCGTTCACAATACCTATTACGATACCAGTCCCAGAGACCCCCGAGCAGAGGGCAGACCGGCAAGCGACGAATGGGCACGATTGAGCTGTTGACCTGCTCTGCGGCGTTGCTCGTAAAGATCCCAAAGCGACGGGTTGGGGCCTTAATGCGAGTCCAGTGGACGAGGTTGATGCCCAGCTTCTTCCTCGTACCCCGCTTGTTCTGCCTAAACCCTGTCCTCACGCGTGCAGTGTGCTCCCCATTCGCGACACCGGCCTCAGCCGTGTCATCATCGGCGTTCTCGTCTGCCCCCGCCTGGTTCCCTTCTGTTGCAGCTGGGTCAGCCGCAGCATCTGCCTCTGCCTCCTCTGCATCCGCCTCCTCCACTTCGTCCTCCTCAAAGTCGGCTTCAAACCTCACACGGGGGTTGCCACTACCGACATCGGGCCACGGGTGATCCAGACTGACAACGACCAGTGCCTGGCAGGTATTTCCCCCACCATGCTCGTCTCCCCCCTGGCCCGAGTTTCCGCTTGATGCTGATGCACGTGGCGGGTCCGTCCGGATGCTGCTGGGGATGTAACCTGTCCTTACGCGTCGCAGGATGCGATTATAGTCGAATGGACGTGAAGCCGCAGGAGTCGAGCCCGAGGGACGACTGGGCGGCTCGTTTGTGGCCGGGGGGTCTGGCGGCGGAGCCGTCAGGGCAGAACTGCCTGCGGTAGGTGCATGCCCTGGTTCGGGAGGTGTGGCTCCCGGCCCGCTCGCGTCACCCGCCCCACGGCCACGCGCACGTGATGTGGTCCCTAAACCCCTGGCGGAACGCGCTGCTTCACGACCCTGGCGACGGTTCTGTGCAGCTTGTTGACGTGCTTCAGCCGCTGTGGTGGGGGCGGGACGTTGCTGCTGTGCAGCATCTACCGGAGCTGGACCCGAGATAGGCTTCTCGTCGCCGAGGAGATAGGTCATCATTTCCTTGAAGTCACGGCGGCCGGCTGAAACCAATGCGTCCCATTTGTCGTCGTCCCTGCACTTCACAAGACGCCAAAAAAAAAGAGCCGCAGCCTCTCCAAACTTCACAACATTCTGGTGGAGATGCCAAGCACAAAAGTAATGAGGTATGCCAGCCGGGAGTACATCTCGTGCAGCAGGAATCAGGCCCTTGTCGCGATCGCTGATAATTGATGCATCGTCACGGTGCGGCCACTCCGGGAAGCTCACCATAAAGTGTTGCAGGAACCAGGACCACGAGTCTTTGTTCTCTCCTTCGACCAGAGCCCACGCCAGCATCAGAATCTTCTGGTTGCCGTCAAGTGCCACGGCAATGAGCAGGGTTGCGCGTTGAGCACTGATTAGGAAGGTCCCGTCTAGTGCAACAACGGGGCGGCAAAAACCAAGCGCACCGCGAGATGCGGACGGCTGAATGTACATCCGGTGGAAGCATCCGTCGATAGTCTGAATCTTGAACATTCCACCAGGATCGTTCTGCTCGAACCTGCGAGCCAACTCCGGGAGCAACCTGAACGACTCCTGCCAATCGCCGTACATTTCCTTCTGGATTGCCTCACGGAGCCGCCACGCCTGCTTGTAACTGATGACAAACTTGCTGTGTGACTAGAGAATCTGCTGCAAGGTTTTCGCAGAAATGAAAGGTGCGCCACGAACAAGGTTGCCCCATTGCCGCTTCATAACCTTGATGCTGTTGGCGATGGCGTTTGCTCCTTGCTCTCGCTTGTACTTGCTGCAGATGTGAGCTTCAGGGGGGGAAAGCGACGTCACTTCCCAGAATCCGCCATGTACAACCTTACTGTAACTGCATTCCCAAGGGCACATGGGTAGTACTCCATGCATGGCGGTTTTGCATTGGAGTATCACGTGGGCATCCGCCACCTCGACAGTCCCGAATCCAAAACGGTGCCGCAACGCGAAGGCTTGCACCGCCTTTAGTGCCGCACCCCTCGAGGAGTATATTGCACCTTGTGTCAGTGGGGCATTATCTCTAGGGGCTTTTGGTTGTGCTTCCGGAACGGGGGGGACGTTTCGCATTGCCTCTAAAATACTATTCGCTATACGCTCGGGGCTATGAGGTGGTAACGACATGGTTCTTGCTGGGTGTTGGAGTAAATCGTCACATCTAATGCCAATGGTCGTTACTGGCAAGGCATACGTAAACAACTTAGACACCTACCCAGTAACATGCTCTTGACGATGGTACCGTGTAAACACCACTGTACGTTGATGACTGAACAGCAGTTACTTCGGGGAGGAAAGGTGGGCCACGATATGTCCAAGGGGCCAAACTGTGCGGGCTCGTCAGAGTCAGCGATTTGGACATCCAGCAGTGCTTCACGGGCCCTTTGTGAGACCTCTCTGGGGAAACGACGGTGGCGTGATTGTAAAATCTGGCGGTGAATTGGCTGCGCGCGCGAAATTGTTCGGTGTGGAAAGTTTGAAGTGTTTCACGTGTGATTCACTGACCACGCGTCGAACATGAGTGGCGGGAAAATTGAGGGCCCATTTAAAATTTATGGTGATTCCGTGATCGAAGGATAGAATGTACTTGTAATCATTGGCCCATACTGTTCCGAAAGTATCCTGGGCGGCGTAATGATGGGTCGCGAAGTTCAGTTGGAATGGTCGCCACGGGCAGAAACCATCGGCCATTTCAAAACTCGTAAAAAACCACAAAATCAGTATTGATGGGGAAAACTGACCGCGGGAATCGGGCGCGGTCGCGTGGGGGGGGTAGTGGGAAAACCACTGCCCGTTGGAATTGGAGACGAGCAAGCACCGCGGTTCGTCATTTCCTCTCGTTTGCGGGACCATTCTCGTCCCGAACCGCCTGCGCCTCGAGGGCGACAAGTCTGGGCCAATCCGTCTCGTCTCCTGTTCGCACCTCCGCGGTCCGAGGGCAACGCGTGCCCTTGAACGCATGCCTACAAAATGCATAGCGAATTGGGAATTAGCAGATATGAACTCAAGCTCCAGTCACTTCAATTTGCCCAAGCTTCTTTTTCGTACTCAACCATTCGAGTCTCTCGGTGTTCCCTATACCGCTTGAACCTACGTGAACAGCCATGGCATCGAAGAACATCCTCGTTATAGCCGTCCTCGCAATGCTCCTCGTCAGCCTCGCGGTTGCTGACAATCAGGATCGTAAGCGGGACGGCACGGGTAACCAGGACCGCGACAGGAAGCGCGACGGCTCGTGCGCCAAATCCGGCACGTGCAGCGGCGGCAAGAACGACGGCAACCCCGGTGGTCGCGGCGGCAATGGCGCTGGGAGGGGGAATCAGGGGAAGAAAGGCACGGGGACTTGCAACAAGAGCGGCAGCGCGAGTTGCGACGGCAGCGGGCGGAAGAACGCGGTGATGGCGAGCTCGAATGCTGCGGTGGCGGCTGCTGACGTGGACGTGCAGGCGTGTGACGGGGCGAAGCAGGCGGGGAAGCTGATGAGCGGATTGTGGAAGAGCGGATTCAACAAGTTCGCGGCGGCGCTGCAGCAGACAGGTGCGCTGTGCGCCACTGCTGGCACTGTCCCTCTCCCTCTCCCTCTCCCTCTTGTCTCACCTGCCATCTCACCGCCATTTCCATGTGCGCCACCATGCCTCACACCATCCGCGGATTTGGCGGATGTGTTGTGTGCACGCGGAGTGATGCTGCTGACCCTCTCACCTGCCCTCTCACCTGCCCTCTCACCTGCCATCCCCGTGTGCCCCACCATGCCCCACCCTGGCAGGCCTGGCGGCGGAGTTCCCGGAGGTGATGTGTGCGGGCGGGGTGACGCTGCTGGCCATCCCCGACGCGCCCATGGGGCAGCTGCCCCCTTCAGTGCGAGGGGACCCGGTGATGCTGAGGGAGCAGCTGCTGCTGCACGTCGTCAAAGGCGCCCGCCCCTACTCCCGCATGCAGGCGCGCGGCAAGAACTACAAGGTGAGAAGCAAGCACCACTGGCGTACATTCAACACCAAATTTCAGCACCACTGGCAAGCACCTTTGTTTGTGTGCCGCTCTTTTTCTGACAACAATCCCTCGCCCTGTTCTCTCCCCCGTTGCCCACCTCTCTCCTTTCCAAACCCACTCTCTCCCCAACCTCTCGCCCCTCTCTCCCAAACCCCACTCTCGCGCCCGCAGTTCGCCTGTGCGGCGGGGGCGGGGGCAGGGCGGCTGGTGAAGGCGAGCCAGGGCAGCGCGGCGCTGGTGCTGCGAGTGGGCAGGGGGTGGGGGCAGGCAGCAGCCGTGACGCGCCCCGATGCCTTCCGGTGCACGGGGGGGGCGGTGCACGGAGTGAACTGCGCGCTGGGCTTGGGGCGCATGGGCAGGCCGGGCAGGCGCGTGCCTCTGGGGCAGTGCTTGCGCAACAGCAGGGATGAGGATGATGACTAGTTGGGGGGGGGGAGTGGGATTAAGTGGGAGACGAGGGGACGAGGCTAGAGTAGTGAGAGTGGAGGGGTCAGGGGGGTATTGGCTGGATAGAGCAAGGAATACTGTTGTGTGCATGAGAGAGTTCGGATCGCATCGCATGACATTTTGTTTTGGAAGGTTGGTAGTGGGTGGAGGCATGTGTGGGGTTGTAGTTCTGCCTGCTCTGAAGGCAGAGGATGTGTTACATAGGGCTTGGAACAGCAAGAAGCGCGGGAGATCATGTTTGCTAGTGCGTGCTTGCTTTTCTAAGCCCTGTGAAACAGAGCTAAGGTTGGGTTGTATTTGTTGGGAACAAATAGTCTTAAGCGCCTCTGTCGTGTCGAAACTCAAGACACAAGCGAAGCAGCTCAAATCGAAGCACCGCGAGTCAACCCTCGGAGGTTAACGTAACCGTTGGAGGTTACGAGAAAGTCAAAGGTCAGCGACCTTTGACCTGACGCAGCGCGACAGCAAGGACACACAACTGACTCGAAATTGAGCAGTTGCTCGAGTCGCACTGTATCGAACCGCAACAGTAAAACAGTTACAATTATATCTCTTCTTCATACGGTATTCTCTGTACTCATATATATATATACCTGTATCTCTTTGCTTTAATCAACTTACTTTGCCCTCACATACTAGCGCAAGGTGGTTCAAGGACTTTATTCAAACGCTTCCGCTATTACATCATTTTACTCAGACTTTAACTCTACAAAGATCCTAGGGCGTTTCAGCCCAACATGGTATGAGAGCAAGTTAGAGTTAAAAGTTTTTCTTTTTCTTCAACACTCAATACATCAAGAAGACATGTCTGCTAGAAAGGAGAGGAGCTCCTCCAACGGCTCTCCCGGTACCACCCCTACTCCACCTCCTGCCTCTGGCCTACAGACAGAGGAAGGGACAACAACAAGACCAGCAGCTGGGTCTACTGAAACACCCGCAAACCAAGGCGCGGGCTTCGATCCAAGCATGATGGAGAAATTCTTCTCCTTCATGTCCTTCTACGAGCAGCATCAGCAAGGAGTACCTGCGCAGTCAAACAACAGCAACAACAACAACAACGTGACGCCCATGAGTCTCGTGTGAGAATTTAGAAGAAAGAAGAGGATTGAACTAGCAAGAATGGGGATACAAATAGCAAACCCTAGAAGGGTTGTACTCGCCGTAGAGCACCCCACTACAGGCTAGAGCATAACATTCTGACACACCCCCATAGCCAAAGTGGGGTGTAATCAGCAGAACAAGCTCAGGGTGGATCACAATATCACCACACATTCTGAGCACAAGTTCAAGAAGCAACAGTTTAAAGTTCACAAGTGTAATCAAAGCTAGAGGCTATAGCAGAGGGCAAGTGAGGAGGAGGAGGCGAGACTGTAAGAGGAGAGGAGATAGGAGGCGACGACTGAAGCTGCAGACACACGGGCAACAGGAGGCACACTGGCACAGCGGCTACCGGAACAACGCTCCGGACTACTGGAGTAACTGGCCCCGCGGCTAAAAGTAGCGGCAGACGAGCAACGGACCCACGGGCGGCTGGCACAGCTGGCTACGACTGGGCTACCGGACGAAGTCCCCGGAATACCGGTGCTGCTGGCGACACGACGGCAACCTCCATTCAGCTTCCCCAAACTATCCCACCCCCCCTGACACACACCCCCTACTGCACCCCTAGGGTCACTCACACCCCACCCCCTAGCACGACTCCGTCGACTCCCACACACCCACCCCCCTCAGCGGCAGCTGCAGCAGTGGGAGACAGAGGAGGAGGAGGAGCAGGGGAGACCACACACCCGCCACCCCCCACTCGCCACCCCCCACCCGCAGGGGAGGAAGGCGGGTACGGCAGGGGGGGGCGGGGGGGGGGGGGGGGGGGGGGCTGACGCGCGGTCTCCCTGGGCGCCAAAGGAGGCGGCAGAAGGGGCGACGCTCGCCCCCACCCCCACGTCGGCCCCCGAAGGAGCCACGACGGGCGACGGGAAAAGAGGGTGGGGGAGGAGGGGAGGGGGGGGGGGGGCGGTGCACGTGCCGGCGACGGGTCGGGGCAGCTGCGCGGGGCCGGGACGAGCGGCGCACGGGCGGCGACGGGCCGGGACAGCGGCGTGGGGCCGGGACGGGCGGCGCACGGGCGGCGTGGGGCCAGGACGGGCGGCGCACGGGCGTCGCCGGGCCGGGGCAGCGGCGCGGGGCCGGGACGAGCGGCGCACGGGCGGCGACGGGCCGGGACAGCGGCGTGGGGCCGGGACGGGCGGCGCACGGGCGTCGACGGGCCGGGGCAGCGGCGCGGGGCCGGGACGGGCGGCGCACGGGCGGCGTGTACGTTCCCTCGGTGCGCCGCGACGGGCCCCCCCATCGCCCGTCGCGGCGCCTCCAGAGGGCGACGTGGCGAACGATGGGGCAGAAGCCCGCCGCGCGCCTCGGGGCGCACAGCGGGCAGAGAACCGCCGCGCGCCTCGGGGCGTACGGCGGGCAGAAAAAACCGCCGCGCACCTCGGGGCGCACGGCGGGAAGAAAAAAAAAAACTGCCGCACGCCACGGGGCGTGCGGCACAGAGAGTAGCAGTAGCTGTTGCAGCGGAAGCAACGAGGTGGTGAGCCCACCCACAGGATCGATCCAAGAGGATCGACCTGCTCTGATAGCATGTGAGAATTTAGAAGAAAGAAGAGGATTGAACTAGCAAGAATGGGGATACAAATAGCAAACCCTACAAGGGTTGTACTCGCTATAGAGCACCCCACTACAGGCTAGAGCATAACATTCTGACATCTCGATGGCTCATCCTACGCACGCGGGAATCAACAACAACAACAACCTACCTTCGCTCCGTACGAGCCCCAGCGCGGCTCCGTCAGCTTCATGCCGCAACCACAACCTGCACCGGGACAAGAAAGAGCACTGGACGCACTACAAGTTCAGTCGCAATTCGCGCATGTTTTAAAACTACAAACGACAAAACCTTTCGACGGGAAGGATTTCTTTACCTGGTCGTTCGAATTCGAGCTGATGATGGAAGGAGCGCAAATCCTTGGCTTCTTCGACGGGTCCCTGCCATATCCAACAAACGGCATGCAGTATGAGAAGCAGCAGTACACCTATCAATCGATGATGGCGTACACAATACTACTGAGGAACATCACCCCGACTCAACAGCAAAACATAAGGACTTACCGAGGTTACGGTAACTCCTCGGAGCTCGCGTACAACCACTTGAAGAACCTGTATCAAGCAACAGACAGTGTAAACCAAAGCCGGTTAATGGCGCAGCTGACAACAATCGAAATGAAACCAGGCGAGAAGGGCATGGCATATATCAGTCGCTGCCGCGAACTGCGCGACAAGCTTCTTCGATGTGGAGGATCGATTTCAGAAGACGCCTTCGTCACGGTTGTCATCGGCAGTCTTGGCCCTCACTGGCGCTCCACTCGCGCCATACTACGAGCACACGGGAGAATCTCCGAAGCAGCACTCTGCGCCGAAATCCATGCCGATCAGCAGGACATGGACCTGCAAGAAGAACGACACAAGAAGAAAACGTCATTACCAGAGTTCGCATTTCACACTCAGCGACGCTACAACAACAACAACAACCGGCAACAACAACAAGTGAAGCCAGTACCTCCGTTCTGCCACATCTGCAAGACTTCAGGGCATCCTCGTACGCACTGCCCGTATCGTCAACAATTGACAACACCACAGCGACAACTTCGGCCTTCAAGCTCCCAAGTCACTTCAACGCAAGCAAACCCGACAACTTCAGTCCAAGCTTCAACGACTCCAACAGGACAACCTGCACAAGGAGCAAGAAACATCGTCAACTGTATGGTGAAAATAGCAGATTCCGGCACAACCGAGTCACCACCATACTACTCACCAGAAGAACAACTCGACAACAGCACGCCTCGTCGCGAGTCACTTCAGCCGAACCCGACATACGCCGCCATCGCTCAAAGCGAGCCATCCGGAAGAGACACTTGGTTCTTGGACAGTTGCTGCGGACAACACATGTGCTCCTCAGGACGTTTCGTTCAACGCGAACACCGACTTCAACGAGAGGTCGTCATCACAGTCGCCAACAACCAGAATCTGCGCACACGACGACAAGGAGTAGTACAACTTCAGTCACGAGAGACAAATGTTATACTGCATATGTCAAAAGTACTAATCGCAGAGGGACTCGGCTACAACTTACTGAGCGTCAGCCAGTTGATGGCGACGCCATCGTGAACTTCGCCGACTGGACACATCCCCCGGATATCGACCCCGACTTCAGCCCGGTAGGCTTCTGGTATTCGCATACCATCCCTGAAGCAGAACGAACACGCGCGTTAGCAACAATTCAACATTCGACAGCAGCAGAGACAACATCGGCAACAACAGAGACAACATCGGCAGCAGCAGAGACAACACCGGCAGCAGCAGAGACAACACCGACAGCAGCAGAAACATCATCGACAGCAGCAGGACCAACAACACCAGTCCTCGTCGACGAAGCACCACCAACACCCGCACAGCAGCTGAACCCAACTCAACGAGAAGTCCACAGAAGCGCGAACTTCGTCGCCAGCTTCTACTCCAACTCCGACGCGTATCAACGCTCACCCGGACATCGCGCCTCCGAAGACATCTGGCACGCACGCATGGGACATCCAAGCAACACCGTGTTAAATAATACAATAAGAGCAGGAGTCCTAGACAAGGATTCATTACTACTACCCGACGGCAGAGAACTTCAACGGGCATGAGGAACCTGCCTCACTTGCCCCGAAGCCGACTTACCACATCGACCATTTACTTCTCACCACTGTCAGAACATTATAGCTTACTTATTTGTGTAGGCTATAGTGGGGTATCCCATAGGGGGTACAACCCAATTAGGGTTTCATATTTGTACTCACTTCATTCATAGTTCATCATCCTCGTTCTTTCTTTCACATGGAATCAGAGCAGGTTCCCTCCTAGGGACTGCTTCTAGGGCCCACCGA